GCCCACGACGCTGTCGGGATAGAGGATCTTCGTGCCGTCAGTGGCATCCGTCTCAAAGACAACGCGTGCCAAGTACTCCAGGTTCACCTGGTGCACAATGCCGGAACCAGGGGGCACAATCAGCATGTTGTTGAACGCCTGGGCGCCCCACTTGAGGAATGTGAAGCGCTCCTTGTTGCGCTCAAACTCCAGCGATTGATTCTTTGCCAGGGCATCCGTGGTGCGAGCAAAGTCAACCTGAACGGAATGATCGACCACCAAGTCGGCGGGGCAGATGGGGTTGATCTTCTCGGGATTGCCGCCCAAATCGAGCACCGCATCTCGCATTGCTGCAAAGTCCACCACCGCCGGCACACCGGTGAAGTCCTGAACAGATCAAACAGAGTGAGATGTGACTGGTGTGCGCAGTGTGGAAGATTCTACCTGGAGTATGACACGTGCTGGCTTGAAGGAAACCTCAACATCGCTGTCTCCCTGCTTCAGAGCAGGCGTCCAGTTCAAAATACTCTTCACATCGCTCTCCAGCACGTGGAAGTTGTCACAGTTTCGCACCGCAGATTCCAGTAGAATTCGTATGGAGAAAGGCAGTGCATCTGTCCAGTAAATTAAGAAAATGTATATAATGGTTCCTGGAGATCATAAACGGAACCTTTCTTACCATATTTGTTGTCAATCTTTGGCAAATCAAAATACTTGTAGACATTGCCGTCTTGTGTGAAGGATTCCTCCAAGTGGGAGAAGGGATTGGCGCCTGGAATGCAGTTTGAGTATTATTATGAACTTGGCGCACATAAAGGAACACGTACCGAAGGTGGACATGACCAAGAAAGTCGAGAAAATTGGGAAAAACAAAAAACACTAGTGAAATTCAAGTTCTTTATCCAGTCAGCTGTTTTGCCGATATTTATTAGATAGAAACTATCGACTGCTTAACCGTTTCGCGCGTTGGACGTTTTGAACAAATTCGGCTTATATTTAGTTTGTTGAGAAAATTGCAAAGAAACTCATATTTGGATATGTTATTTATGTATTAATCCTTGCAGATAATCCTCCACTCCTAATAGTGGATGATGCTGGAAAATGCTCTTGTGGCAATTTCTCTTCCGTCGTAGAAACCATGGCGTTTGTCAATGGTTTATTGTAATAGTTACATTTTATTGCTGCTTATTGTTATGTCACGTACCATGGATAGTTAATATAAATTATATATGCTTAGGATTATCAACTAGAGCTGCTGCAGAAAGAAAGCCAGAGCGAGGCATTGACGCTGAGAGGCAGCCTGTAGCCTGTATAACAAGTCGGTGCTCTTGCGGTTTGCAGATCTTTCGATGTCTACAGATAAATGCGACGCAAGTCCTTCGGCGTGGTGATCGAATTGCACTGAGGGCAGAGCTTGCGTGCCCCGAGCGTCTGCAGCCAGCATTGCTCGCAGTGCACATGCCAGCAGGAGACGGAGATGGCGGGATTCTTGTAGTCGTCGAGGCAGATCAGGCACTTGAATTTGCTCTGCGACTGGTTCTCGTAGAGGCGCAGCTTGGCCCTGAGCGCCTCGATGACCAGCTGCAGGTTCTGGGAGGCCGAGCGCGTGGAGCGAGAGGTGGAGGGCGTCTCCCTGGAGGACGCTGCCGCTGGTTCAGTCGCTGGCTGCTGCTCAACGGCAGCCTCCACAGTGGCAGTAGCATCGCTGGAATGATTCGGCTTGGGTGCTTCGTTGGACGAAATGAGTCTGCGGACGTAGTTCGTGATGTCTGCCTCTGAGACATCAGCCGCGGAGTCGCCTCCTTCCACTGTTGGAATCACATCGGCCTCCCCGTACTGTGTGGGTCCGTAGATCTGCGTATCGTCCTCATCCACGTTGAGATCTTCGTCCTCGTCCTCGTTTGACTGCTGGTTGCCATTGTACTTTATGGTCTGGCCCATGTTCAGGGCCGAGTAGCCGCCCTGCACCAGCGTGGACACGCGAATGCGCTTCTGGCCAGCCCACTCGTACTCTTCGTACTCCTCGCTGTCGTCGGTATCGTCGCTGGAGTGCCTTTCGCCGTTTGCCTGGCCATTGCGGCGGCTGTTGCGCAAGCACTCATTCGCATGCTCCTGGATGCTGCCCAGCGGGAAGTTCTTGTTGCACACGGGACAGGCGGAGGTGGCTGGCTCAGGGGGAGCAGCCACTGGCGCGGGCGGTGAGGAGGGACGCTTTCGCGTGCGCTGCCGCTGTCTGGTCTGACGATTTTTCTGCACACGCTGGAACACACTCCACGGCTGCCGTCCGCCCGATCCAGACTGTGATGTCGACGTTGTTGTGTTTGTTGTCATGGTCGATGTTGGTGCGGTACTTATCGGTGGAACCACTGTGTGCAGGCGCTCCATTTCGACCTGGCAATGGTCGGCCACCTGGCTGCGCTTGATTTTGATATTGCATGTGGGGCAGATCACATCGTCGTCGTTGGAGAGGTGATAGTTCTCGCCGTTGGACACTGTGTCTGTGGCCATAGTGTCTGGAGGCCTTGCGCGGCACTTTTCTGTCAGAAATTAACTGGCTAAATTGCAACCGATCAGCTTTGTTTTTGTTCACAAAGCCACGCGACGCCAAATTGTTACGCTGATGCTGGTAGGTTGCGGTCACACTACGCAAGAGATTTTGGGATTCAAGGAAAACGGTCATATACTTTCACGCTTTTGATACATCGATATACACCGTATATGTGAGACAACTGTGATTTTAAGTCATATCACATAAATCACAAATCAATCAAATAGTTGGCATTGGTTTTAAAATGAAAACTAATCAACACTCCAATTGACTTGCACTTGAGTATGCTTAACAATTCATAAAATTTAATCCGTTTGCTGTTATTTGGTCACGGCATTTAAGGGTGTTAAAATAATCGTGACAAGTAACAGGTATTCAGGTATCGGCCATCCCTAATTTTCAGTTGTTGTGATGAGAAGAAAACATTATTATTTTTCTAGTTTTTATTTTGTTTTGAGCGTTTAAAAACGTCGGGGAAATGCTCTAAAAAACCAGAGTGACGCGAGCTTTCCGAGCAAACTGTAAGAGTGTTAGATCCGTGCGTTTGAAAGGCAAACGTTCAACGAGACGCGACTAGTGGGAAAGCCAAAGAAAGGCGAAGGAAAAAGAGAATAGAGAAAAAGTAGCGCAGTTTCCACATTTCCACAGTCTGTTCGGTGCGTTCATGTGCGTGTGTATGTGCAATATTGTTAGCATAAACAAGAGTCAAAATGTCGCCACTGGATGAAAAGTTCACGGCACAACAAAAGCAACGGCAGCAGCAGCAGCTGCCACAAAACAACAGCCTTGGTAGCTTCCACAACAAAATGAATGTACTGCCCAATTACACGATGAGTGGCATGAGCTCCTTCGATGCCGAATCCCTGCCCGATTACTCTGAATTTGATTCCGAATCGGTAACATTGGACTATTACAAGGAGAGGTATTCCCCCCAAACGAATTATACAATCTCTCTCTCTCTGTATTTTGCTCTGCATTTTGTTTTGCTTCCGTTTTGACTTCCACAAAACCCCCGCTCCGCCACCATCACCCATCATGCTGCTCCGACGTTATTGTTGCTGTGTGCCCCAAATTCTGCCTGCTCTGTTACGTTATATATATCCATTAAATATTCTGATCCTGTTGCCATGCCCCCTGTCCCCCACACATACACACACGCTCGTACCGCTATATGTATTCACTCCTCTGCAATATAATGTGGTTTTTGTACTCATTGGAGGCACTGAGGCGCTATAAATAAACCCCAAAATAATCTCTGTCTGGCCCGCAAAATTTGCAAGATTTTGCTCTCTCCTCCGCTGACAAGCAAAAAGAGAATAAGTTTGTCTGCAGATATTTACATGCATATGTATGTAGATGTGTGTACATGTTGTATTTGCAGACATTACAAATTAATGAATTCCGTGGGGGGTTGTCGGGTTCCCTTTACATGTGTTAAAGAGTTTCCCGTCGTCTCCTTGGATAGAAATACAGCTTGCTGCATGCTTATGGATTCATTCACGCCATCGCATAATTAATGATGAATCCCATTGAGATGTACAGTTGTAGGGCTGCAGCTGCTAGCCCCCACACCAGCACCCATGCGTTCCTCTTCCGGTTAACGGAACTTCCGCACTGTTTCACTGTTCCTCCAGCTGCACTGAAGAAATGTGTATTTCTGGGCGCATTTTGGGGTATTTTAATTCCCTGCACAGCTTTATTGAAATGCCCCTCCTGTAGATCCCTCTATTTAATTATATTTTTTTGTCGTTCTTGTTGTTGTTGTCAAGTTGTTTTGTTGCATGATGCTGCTGCTGTAACCGCTTCGCTGTAAATCCCCAAATATTGTTATGTCTCTCTCTCTTTCCCCCACTAACAAACCGTTAATCCTCATTGTCCCACAGATGTTAAAACGGGTGATGTCGCCTGCAAACTGAAATTTCGAAACGCACTGGAAGTCGCAGTCCAAAACGAAAACACAAACGCGCAAAACGATAAGCAATAAAACGCCAATTGAAGCATTTACATACCATATACATAAATATATGTACACGATTAGACTAGTTTGTTATCCCTAGCCAGAGCTACTGCCCCCAATTACTGCTCTCTCATATCCTGGCTAGATCCATACCTAACAAAATAAAAAACAAAACTAACCAAGAAAACGCATTGAAACGCATTCCAATTAGTAGCTGCGGGCAGCCTGCCTTTGCCTGCATTACCATATAGTTCTTAAGGTGAGTTGGTCCGCTTTTCGAGGCGCTCTTCTATCGGGTAACTGTTCCATCTAATCGCTGGGTTCGCTCTCTATTAGTGTACTGCGTCCACCACCGGAAAAAATGGCGCCGACAACAACGATTGAGACCATCACAATCACGAGGCCACTCAAGGTACGTACAGGGTCGGAATAAAGCAGGAGATATCTCACCCTTGTGTCTCTTGCCTCTGGTATTCCACAGGTGATTGCATTTATATGTGGCGTAATTGTGGTGGCCCTCATGGTCATGGCCCTGGCCTCAACAGATTGGCTGATGGCCGCTGACTGGCGGCAAGGCCTATTTGTGCACTGCATTGAGGATGATTCGGTGGCGCCGCTGCCGTTTAACATACAGGATCCACCTGGCTGCTACTGGACACGCGATATAGGTAAGCTAACCAAATGATGCCAAGAGTTTTTCGTATAAATAAATGCACTTTTTTTGGGTCAACAGGTTATATCAAGGCCACGGCAGCGCTCTGCATTATCACATTGATAACAGATGTCATTGCTACAGTGCTGACCGGCCTGGGCCTAAAAACACAGAATCATAATCTAAAATATAAGTTCTATCGCATAGCGGTACTGGTGATGCTTGTTTCCTGTAAGTAAACCACTCGTTAATACCTCAAGTCAATCGATTAATTCATTACTTTTCAGTGCTGGCCGTACTGTCCGCCTTGATCGTGTATCCTGTGTGCTTTGCCGGCGAGCTGACCATGGGTATGAGCTGCAAATGCTGCTTTTTATATAACTTGTGTTAACTTTTGTTATCGCTTTGCAGCCAATCGTCGAGTTTGGGAGTTTGGCTGGGCATATGGCGTGGGCTGGGGCGCTGCCATCTTTCTGTTTGGCGCCGTTGTCCTGCTGCTCTGTGACAAGGAATCGGAGGAGATCTACTACAAGGAGAGGAAGATCGTACATGAAAACCAAATGCGCGCCTAGGCAAGGCCGCACGACCTGCCTGACGTCGTTCTTTAGATCTTAAGTATATAGCAGCCAACCAACACACAGAAACACAGAGGACACACATAGATTTCGATTCAAATCAGAACACACGAAAGTGAGAACTTAAAACAAAGGCAATTTGCAGCTAAACAAAAATACTTTTGTTATAATTATGATTGTGTATATGGACCCGTTATCAAACAAAAACAAAAAGAATCCGTTGCCATCCATCCATTCCCCAACCAGCCCTCCCCCTCTCATAGTACAAGGCATTTGTTTAGATCATGTTTTTGTCACACAATTAGTTGAATTAGTGTTTAGTTTCGAAAGGTATCAAAAACACACACATGACATCATGACATATAAATCTAGAAATTCAGAAAGCTAATCACATTAATCCCCCCATTAAATATGTATGTATGAATGTAGTACTCGTGTACAATTGTATGCATGTCATGCCCATGTAACCAACGTTTTAGTGTATTCTTTTGGTAGAAACGTGGACAGAGGCAAGCCTGAAATTAGGCCTTTTCCACACACTAAGCAATAATCACACGCATAAGCATACGCATAACAAAATGTAACCCGTACTCATCATTGTAATCTCTCACTCTCTATCTGTCCCACTATCAACGAAACGTGAACGGAATCCAAATTAGAAATTATAAATGTAATCGAAGGAAGTCTTAGATATTAGGACATGGCCTCAGCCTTTGGAGACGAGACACCCACACACATAATCATTGTTCCGCGCCGATTACGCTTTCAAAAATTGATTTGTATTTAATTTTTTTTTTCTCGAATATTGTTTGTGTGTACTCGAATATTTGTTGCTTTTTTATCACCTGTTTGCCCTGTTGTAAAATAATTTTAACCTGTACTGACTCAAGAGCTATCATGTCCGCCCCAAAACAGTTCAATTATTGTCTAAGTTCGTACTCTTTTGTAACCAACGATATTTAATAGTTTAATAATTTATTAATTTGTGTTTTTACCACACACACACACCCAACAGAAAAGAAAAACAAAACATATCACATGCGAATGACAAACAAATAAACGTTTCTTACACACCTTTTGTTAACCACAACGAAATGATTTTTGTTTCGAATGTAACCATATCAATGAGTTTTACACTAGTTATACACTATTAATTTGTATATTTAGCTCTTAAAATGGTACGTGTAAGTAATATTTTTGTATCATCTTTAATCATTAATTTGATCATCTTGTTGCTTCTTTTCTTTGTGTCTGTTTCGTTTGTTTTCTATTTACATTTTTAGCCGAAATTAAGTGAAGCAAAGTGCAACCAAATTTTTAATGCAACGTAAATTACAACAACACAAAAAGGGAATATATATGCTTGAACATCCATATATATATATATAGCGTACCGTATCGTATCGCATATATATATATATATGAGAAGACATGGAACAAATCGTAGGCAGGAACGTGCGGTGAAAAAAAGAAAGAATAAAAACGAAACAAAAAACACAATTAATAGCGAGTGTAAGACAAGAAACAAAAACAATTATACCAAAAAAACCAAAACAATTGAATTAATTATACATACTATGCTTGCATACACGCATATTTATACATAGATATATACATATGTGTAGATAAGTATGTAACATTTATTAACAACAAAAGAAAGCAAAGGGAAAAACAAAACATATTAACGAAAGCAATTATGAAATGCGAAACTCCGCAAAGCGTTACGTTACGTTACGTTAAGTTAGGGGTTTTCCAGCAACAACCAACAAATTAACACTCGAATCGCATCGAGACTTTGTTTCTTTTAACAAAAGAAAACATATTTATATACAAAAACACATACAATACATATATAACTATATTTATACATAAAAAGATTTTAACATTTCATTTGTTCTTTAATGATTTAATTATCAAACATATTTGCTAGTGATCCAAATGATGCAAAAAACATATGCATAGAACAGATCCAACACCCCTGTATACCATACCATACCATACCATACCATACCATGTATTATCCCCTCCTGATTATTCGATGCTGACTCCCATGATTCCCTACCCAAACCACCCCCTTTACAATGTAAATATTTCAGAAACAATAAATTAGCGTTAATGTTCACGTTTAATACTTGTTTATTAATACCGAACAATTAACCAAAACATTTCATATACCACCTACATATAATCAATAACTATGTTTTGTCATTTCTAACAAAAAGAAAAGAAAAAGTACCAATTGACTACATAGCACCCCCCATTTTGTATATCGTTCAAATGAGATCAATTAAAGCTGGTTCCTTTAACAAAAAAAAAACACACACAGATGCATTGATTCATTGAATTGGTTGTTCCTTGATGAGTTATTATTATAGTAACACATGTCCTATGGGTCCTGTTGTTCTATTGGCAGCACTGTTTGGTTTCTGAATACATAGTCTAATGGCTTTAGTTTGTCCTCATTTATGGCCATGAACTCCTTTAAGACTGTCACAATATGCCGCATCGAGTGTCTGCTGCTGGGCTCCGGATCCCAACAGTCTTCAATCAGGCACTTAATGTGCTCAGGACAATCCACCATTACCTGATCCAAATGTGGCCTTTCGCCTAGTCAATTAAAGGTATTCGAATTAATTGTTGTGCAACTTTTAATAAGAGAGTTTTGTTTACCTGTGATCACGGCCAAAGTGACCATATAAGGGGTAAGATGATTCTCGTATGGCTGCCTACGCGACAGTACCTCCCACGTGGTCATGGCCCAGCTATGTACATCGCACAGCTCGGTGTAGTGTCTGCCCTTGCATACCTTTTGCGGGAAACTCACTCGAATGATTGCAGATTAAATTGTAAGTGGAGTGGACGCACCTCGGGGGCCATATAGAGGACAGTGCCTCGATTGTTTGTCATCGAACTGGTCATGTCCACGACGGTGCCAAAGTCACAGATCTTTAGATGGAGGCCCCGCTGTCCCAGCAGCGAATTGAGCGGCTTTATGTCGCGATGTATTACCGCTTTGGGTGTCATGCCATGAAGATAAGCAACACCCTAACACACACACACAAATACTCTTATTAGTTGGCGTTTATTTACTTTGGATATGTCCACACGTACCTCTGCGATCTGGAGTGCCCAATTGATGGCGTGGGCTAACGTATAGCTTGGCTGCCATTCGGCATGCAGGAAATTGTGCAGAGTTCCACCATCAACATACTCTATTAGTAGATGGACAGTTTTCGCGTGCACAGAGACGCCATAGAGCTTGATGATATTTTCATGGCTGACCTTTGATAGCTGCTTTACCTCCCTCTTGAGTTCCTTGTCTTCAAAGCCGGGTTTTATCTGCTTCACGGCTATCGGTAGATCACCCCACAGGGCTTTATAGACCAGACCATAGTAGCCCCTTCCAAGGATCTACAAATGGTTTTTTCCAGAACAATACTGAAATTGGCACACAAAATTACTTGCTGTGGTGTGTATTTACCTCCCCCAGCGCGATATCTGCAAATGGAATTATCTCTGGTTCAGCTGCCGCCTCCGTCATGTTTCGACTCTTTTTCAGCTATCACTAAAGTTCTACCCTGCATCGGTTCGCTTTTTTCTGCCTTTGAAATTCTGATAAGAATCGAGGCGGTCATAAATTGCGGGGGTTTCCATGTTCATCGAACAAACGAAAGGTGTACCACAAAGCATAGCAAAATCTAAATAGAAAAATAAATTCCCTTTAATTCTAGAGCTTTTTCCAGCGTTGATTTACTTCAATTAAGTGTACCATTCTATGGAAAATTTGATGCATTTTTAGCTAGTTTTTATTGCTATTTACCATACCATAAAAAAAATTGTAGAAAACTTAAACTTTGGCTCAAAATAATTTCGGTTAAAGACTTTCTATGGAAGCGAATTTTACATCAAATGAAAGCGTGTGTTTCGATTGCCAAATCAAATTAATTTAAGTGCGCAAAGGTTATGGAATTTTTCAATAATTATTTCGTAGGAATACCCAAGCAGGCTCCACCACAAAATTGCACAAGAAAATAACTTTCAAATGTAGTTTACTTTTTAAAAAAATGTTCTTTAATTTGCATCATCCATATGTGTCTTTGCACGGTATGTAAGTATTCTATCTATTAAAGCCTAATCTGGCATCACACATCGCTGCTGTTGCTGCTGCTGCTGCTGCTGTTGGTCCTTTCTTAGTCTTTTTTGGCAATTAGACCCTGCTTCTTGAGCTGCCGCAGTGCGCACTTGGCTGCCGTACATTTGGCTATTCGGTAGTTGCGTCCAATGCCGCGGAAGGTGCCCTTGCTGAAGACATCTACGGTGACACGCACCCGGCGTCCGTCGGCCAACTTCTCGGGCTTGCCGAATTTCGCCGTCTCCGGCTCTAGTTCGAGCAGCTCACGGATGGGTGACTTTGGCACAGAGTTGCTGAATTGCTCGATTTCGGGGCTCATCATATTACTGTAGACATGCCAGACCACGTCCAGGGACATGTTTGAATCGAGAAAAATGGCACCGGCAATCGACTCGAAGACATCGCCCAAGGCTTTGGGCACCTCAACGTCCTCGGCATCATCGCACTCCTCCTCGGACAGCAAGTAGTACTAAAAAGGAGAGAAAACTGTGAAACACGAATAGAAATATGATTGTTCATGTCCTACCTCCTCGCTGATGCTGTGTCCGTTCTCCTGCTGAATGCGCACAAACCGATCGATGACATCGTTCAGTCCCGGCGATAAATGCCGAAAGAACTTGTGGAAACCGTGTCGTACGGCCAGCGAGGCAAAGATTGTGTTATTCACCAAAGCGGAACGCAGATCGGTGAGTGCACCAGGCGAGTGCTGGCGCGGATCCTCGTACAGGTGACGCGTGATCAAGTAGTCCAGCACGGCATCGCCCAGGAACTCCAGCCGCTGATAGCAGTCCGTCAGTCGATTGGGCGTGTAGCTGGCGTGCGTCATGGCCTGCAGTAGGTAGGAACGATCACGGAATCTGTACCCCAGGCTGGCCTCAAACTCATCGAAGCCGCTGAGCAAATGCTCCAGTTCCCTCTCCGCATGGGGGGCATGGTGCAGCAGGGGACTGCGTGGCGTGGGCCACGATCCATACACCGTCACCATTTGGTTGGCATCGGGACTGGTGCTGCCGGGCGTTCGCTCCACATCGCTGGCAGCTGCCGGCTCTCGGTTGTACGGCAGCACGCGCACACCCAGCCAGGCCATGAAGAGCAGCGCACCACGGGGTCCGCACTCGATGAGGTAGGCCCCAATCAGAGCCTCCACGCAATCGGCAATCGACTTGTCCGGTATGCTGTGCTGCGACACCAGATTGTAGGGTATAAAGCAGCTGAAGTCGTTGCAACTGTCATTCGATTCGTCCATCGGCACGGATGTCGGCTGTGCCGTTGCCTGCTCTGCGCCGCTGTCCGTCAGCCCCAATGCCTCGGCCTTCTCGCGCACCATCTCGCATATCTGGACGCTGCTCAGATTCTTAATGTCCAGCAGATCGGCCAGCTTCCAGTGGTGCGTGGGTATCTTAGCCTCGATCAGTGCTTTTTCCAGCTCCTTGGGCACGTAGTAGCACGGCGGCAGCCAGTTGTCGTGCGGCTCGAACTTCGTGGCTATCATATACTCGCCCAGACGCTTGCGCCTGCCCAGGCGATACAGATTCAGATTGGCCACCTGCTTCGAGCGCAGGTGACTCAGCTTGCCCTCGTGGACGTTCTCGTACGTGATGTACAGATAGGTGGTGATGGCATACTTGAGGAACGAGTCACCGATGGTCTCCAGGCGCTCCAGATTGATGCCATCGTTGGCATTGGACATGGTCAGTGCCTGGAGTATAACACTGGGACTGGGCCCGGGATGGCCCACAAGCTCTGGCTGCAGATCAAAGCTAAAGCCCGCAGGCAGGATCATTGGCGACGTTGCTTTCACTGGACTGGCGCCGCTAATCTCCAGCCGTTCGAACTGCAGCCGCAGCTGCTTCTCCTCGAGGTTCAGTCTGAGATGATCGTTGTAGTTGTCGAAGCTGTCGCCACAGCCCAATACGCTGTAGATTTCATCAGCATGTGCGCTCACCCAATCTGCATTAAGATCAATCAGATCCGACAGCTGAAACTCGGGGCGTTCGCCTAATTTCTGCAGCAGCTTGTCCTCCGGCACGTAGGGCAGCAACTGCTTCAGCAGCTCAATCATCGAGTGGGGGCTGACGTGTGCCTCGGCAGAATCGCTGCGCTTCAGCGACAGCTGCTGATCGTGCGGCACCAACATGCCGCAGCTCTCGATCTCCGACTGCAGCTTGAGTATCGATTGCTCGTAGTCCTCGCTGGGCTGTGCACAATCCGCCAGCTGCGGCTTTTGCTCCTCAAACTTGAAGCCAATTAGCAAATTCTTTGTCTGCTGATACTGCCGCTCGTTGGCGTTCGTCGCTTGGATAATGGATATCTGCTTCTGTCGCTTCTCCACATCCTGGGCCGTCTCAATGGTTTCTGCCTCGTTTTTGGATGTGAATGCAATACGTCCCGCATCTATATCATCCGCCACAGCATCTTCATCGGAGCTGTAGTTGCCATGGAAATAGTTGAGCGGCACTCCATGATCATCCTCCCCATAGCTGGAGCCCAGCGAGTTGTCCGAGTCGTAGTACGTAAAGCTGGGCTTGCCCGCAGCACGACCCTTGCCCGCGGCACTCTGCTGTTGTTTGCTCTTGCTTTTCGGTTGCTTTAGCGATCCATCGGCGTTGCTCACATCCCAGAAGGTGGGCGAACCATAACGTGTCTGCTCATCGCCTGCAAGTAGAAGGATTTGGCCATTGCTTAGACTCGGAGAATCCATTCAGATAGTGGTTTTTACTTACAGAACTTTACATTGGCCGGCAGCACAGGCAGATAGGACTCCTCGTCTTCATCCTCATCGTCGAAGGAGGCAATGTCATCGGCCATGTCGTTCGACCATGTTCCAATCTCAATGAAATCATCGTCCGCCTCCTGCAGCTTCTGTTCCCCCTCGATGATCAGTTCGTTGGCGCTCTTGGCGGCCAACTCTGCCTTCTCCTCCACCGTCGCTGCTTCGCTTGCCACTGGCAGGGGTTCGCTTTCTGCCTCCTTCACCTGCTCCTTGCCATTCGTGACAGCGGAATCCTTTTGCTTGGACTCGCGCGACTTCTTCAGCACCTCCGACAGACTCCAGCCAAAGTCCAGCATGGGCCACTCAAACTGCTCCTCCTGGTCGATCTGCTGCCGCCCCAGGCCCAGATCTGCAGACACTTGCTTTCGTATATCATCCGCCAGAAGCAGACCGTTGATGCGGTACAGGATGCAGGGCAGGCAGACGGCAGTTCGCCACAGGGAGGCGGGAAACGGATGCACGGTGCACAGCTCCGGCACGAGGATCTGCTTTTGTTCAAGATTCTCACGCTTGGCGCGCTTCGTCTCCTCGGAGCTGGTGGGCAGTGCCACGCCCTTGCGGTTGACATAACGCGGCGTGAGGAAGTTAAGGCGTGCACTCGTGTGATCCACATCGAGCAGCGGCTGTGCGGCATTCTGTATGGTGAGGCCGTACTTGACGAAATAATAGTGCTTGAAGGTGCGATAGTTGTCGCCGGGGAAGCAACTGAGCGGCGACAGATGCGGACAGATCTCTGCCACGTAAAAGTACTGGGGCTGGTCCTGATTGCGGTACCAGGGCATAACGACAGCATCCTGAAAGCGCTGCGCATCAAATGGCTGCGCCAGGCGCTCCTCATCGGGCACCGATCGGGGCATTGTGTTGCCATTGGCCTGGATGAGCTCCAGGAACTTCCAGTCAATCTGCTTGCTGCCCTGCGGCGACCCCGTCTTGAGTGTGGGCACAATGAACACACAATTCTCGGTGGAATCGGGATCGAAGAGCATGAGGAACTTCTGCAGGCGCAGCACATTGGTGAACGTGTAGTTCAGGAAGCCATTGATGCAGCCAATCTGTTCGGGCGTCAGCACCACCCGTTCCTTGGCCAGCTCCAGCGAGACCTTCACCTCCCCGGAGCGTGTGAATATCGAGAAGGCGCTCAGCTTGGGTATCCGCTTCATGGTGAGTATGCCAAAGCCCTGCTGCGCATCCTCAGGCGGATAGATCTTCCTGCCCCGCGTATTCTGCTCCTCGGGTATGGGGCACTGCAGCGTCAGCTTGATGAAGTACAGGTAGCAGGGTGCCCCGGCCACAGGTCGACAGTCGCAGAACTCCGAGGCAATGCGCTTGTAGTAGTACTGCCGCCGCTTTGTCGTTCCCGGTCGCGGCTCGTCGCTCAGCTGCACGATCTGCTCGTCCTCGGGCTCCAGCTCAAAGCACTCCCAGTCGGCTTCCAGCGCCCGAAAACCCTCCTTGCCAATGGGCTGCAGTTGATCATCGAGCTCCCCGATCTTATGCAGCTCCACGCACGCCTGCAGGGCAGCCAGGCGACGCGCCAACGTTTGTGTGGGCAGCGGCAGACCCTTGAGAAGGAGAGAAGATAAAGTTAAATGAGATTGAAATGGGCAGAAGAGAGTTATCTCTACTCACCACAATATCATGTTTTAGCGGCGAGTTGATGGGCAGACGCAGCGTGTACTGATAGAGCGTGACGCCTGAGCG